TCTTTCGGGTGTTTTTGCAGAATAGGTTGACACACACACCCCTCTTCTTTGTGGCAGCGCCTCAAATATTGGAAGGCTGCTATCCTGTTATCCCTAGTCTTTCTTTTCACTAAACTAAACATACCCAATTCCTGCAACCATTCTTCATATAGTTTAGCCTCAGCTATTCGTCCAGAATGGTATGGGGTCTCTTGCCTGAGGTGAGGGTTGGATTATAAGACCACCAAATTCCCTTCCATTGCTATTTGTTCTATGTTCTATGAACTCCAAGTTGCTTAGTTTTCTGAGATTAGCCAAGGTAAGCTAGAGATCTAGCTGCAATAAACTCTTTTATTCAAGATAGACCACAATTATCTTCCACACCTTGAATTTAATTACTGTTATACACCTTTCAAGATTGTTTTCAAGGGCTGAGGCCTCACCAGGTGCCAGGTCTATCTTTGATCACCAGGTGATACGCCGAAGCTACAAAAATAAAGACGGCGCAGAGCGGGCGAACGTTACTTTATTTAATATGCTTAAGACGTGTTTAATATACTTCATGAGGATCAAAGAAGAAGAAAAAAAAACCTCCCCAGAGCAAAGAGGGAAAAAGTTCATGGCCTCTATTTGGGGTGGGAGGCAGGGAGGAAATTAAATAAATTCATATAAAGTGCAGTAGCACCATCCTGTGGCCAAGATTAAAAAGTTCATCCTTTTCCTGCACTTTTAAAAGCAGGAGCTAATAATAAACGTTTTCAAAACAAGGAATCTTTTCAAGCTAATGAATGGGGTGAGTTTTGGCTGATCTAAGACCACCTGAAATTTCCAAAGCTTTTCTTATCCAAGGATTGAGGTTCCCAAAATATTTTAGTTTTCATTTTCAAAATAACTTCAGAGCAAGAGGATTCTCTTCCTGATCTCTCCTGAGCCAAACCCTGCCATTTTTCAGAAGCCTTTTGGAATGGAGATGTTGTATCTGTTCAGAAAGTCTGGGCCAATCTATTCTTAAACAAAACGCCTTCAGCCACAGCTCCTACAGAAGGCTGGAGCTGATGGATTAAAAAGTAGAAAAAGAAAGACTTCTAAAATCTACATTCCCCCACCCAAATTCCAAGGACAGGACAGGACCTTTAAGACAGAAGAGGATTTATCCACCACCGTTAGAATAGCAAAAGACACAAGGCCCACTATATTGCACAACCCGCTGGAGCATCTCAAACACAAAATCCCAGAGCCCTATAAAAATCCATCCACTCACCCAGCCAATTGTTCAGCCACCCCAGAATCATGCTGCTGTCACTAAAGTTTCTGGCATCCAAATAAACAGAGACCTTCTTTCCATGCAGCCTGCCTCCGTTTTAATTTCCAGCATCTTTCTTCCATCTTGGAAACAGACCATATTTTCCTTCCAGCAGTGGGAAGCTACTGAAACTTTTACAGCTAGTCCTTGAGTTACAACCATTCATTCAGTGACCATTTAAAGTTATATCAGCAGTGGAAAAAAATGACTTATGATCATTTATCACACTTACAACTGTTGCAGCAACTCTTAATTCAACAAACACCTCCACTCAGTGGTGGGATTCAAAAATTTTTACTAGCTGTTCTGTGGGTGGGGCTTGGTAGGCGTGGCTTGGTGGGCATGGCCATGTGACTGGGTGGTCGTGCAGTGGTGTGATTCTACCAGTTCGCACCTATTCGCTAGAACCGGTTGTTAACATTCTAAGCAGTTTGGAGAACCGGTTGTTAGAAGAAATTACTGGCCTAATCCTGTAAGGAAGGCAGGAAGGAAACATTCTGGTGTTGCTTACAGAAACTGCCTCTCCGTTAACCCTTATTACATTCTTGGCGGGACTAGACTTCCTGTCTCAGGAACTTCTCTGGAGTTTTTTCCCCTCCTTTGCTGGCACTTTGCTTGCGTGGAGTGACCATTCAAAGTTACAACGGCACTGAAAAAAGTGACTTATGACCATTTTTCACACTTAACGACTGTTGCAGCATCCCCACAGTCACGAGAGGCCAGGCGGGGAGATGCATGCCTCGATGTGAGTGATATTGAGTTGGCCACACCCAGCCAATAACATGACCACCAAGCCACGCCCACCCAGTCACATGACCACCAAGCCATGCCCACCACCTAAGCCACGCCCACAGAACCGGTTGTTCAAAAAATTGAATCTCAGACCCCTGTGGGCGGGGCTTTTTTTTTCTTTTCTGCAGCCACCTCCCCACCTGTTTTTTGGGTCTTCTGGGCCTCAGAGGAGCCTCGGGGGGGGGGTGTTTTTGCTCCCAGAAGGCTCCTCTGGTGAAATACCTTAAGGTGCGAGCGTCAGGTGGGCGGAGCGAGCGAGGCGACCGGGTTGGGGGCGTGGCCAGCCAGAACTTACTCCCGGTTTGGCGACCCACACTAAATCCTTGCTACCAGTTCACCCGATCCGGTGCAAACCGGCTGAATACCACCACTGCCTCCACTGTGATGTTCCCCCCTTGGCCCCTCAAACTATCTGGCACAGCCGGGTTTCCAGGCTCCTGCAGAGAGTCAGAAGGATGGAAACTGACCTCACCTTGGAGATATGATGTTCCAAAGAGCAGGAGCCACAGCAGAGTAGGACCTTCTGCTGCACCCCGCTGGCCAGAATTCCTTGCCCGACAGAGCCCACAGCAGGCCTCCTCTTCCAGTGGGATGATAATTTATTTTATCTATTTAGAAAATTTATACTCGCTCACAGCAACTCTAGGCAGCTTACAAACAATAAAAACACAGTATAGAAAAATAAAATAAAAAATAAAAAATAACCACCCATCCCCCTACAAAAGGGGTGCCAAACTCAAGGCCCGCGGGCTGGCTCTGGGCCTTAGGGTGCTTAGATCTGGCCCATGGGGCCACCCTGGAAACAACGAAGGACCAGCCCATGGTGCCTCTGTCAGCAAAAACGTTTCTGGCCACAACGGTCTCCTGCAACCCTCTCCCAGCGAAAACAGAGCTCGGGGGCCACTCATGGCCGTCACAAGCTCCGTTTTTGGCTGCGACGGGACTCCATTTTTGCTGGCAAAGGGTTGCAGGAGGCCATCGCAGCCTAAAACGGAGCTCGGGAGCCCATTTTAACTGGCAGAGTGCACGGGCCACCAGAGCCCCCCCAACACTAGTGACATCTAGCTGGCCACGCCCATCCCAGCCCCCTGAGGTCAAACACAACCCTGATACAGCCCTCAATCAAATTGAGTTTGACACTCCTGCCCTACAACAACATATAGTCAAACAAGCCATTTGATGGGCTCCATCCCACTCCGGCTTCCCTGGCCCGCTGGCAAAATCAAGTCTTCAGAGCCTTACAAAAGAACGTAAAGTGGGGGCCATCCTCACTTCTGAAGGGATAGTTTTTCAAAGAGAGGGAGCCACCATGGAGAAGGTTCTCCTTTTGGGTCCCGCCAGATGCGCCTCCTTAGGGGACGGGACCCCCAACATTCCTTACCTCTTAGCTCTAGTGGGTAGGGTAAGGTGGATGTGACTGGCAAGAGACAGTCCCTCAGATAACCCTGCCTCAAGCCATGAAGGGCTTTAAAGGTGTGATGTCCCGGGACAAGGCACGAAGGCCACATAGCCAGCTGAGAATTCAAACTCCCCTTTAAAGCCCCAAATTTCCCTCCAAACGCTCCCACGTTCTTGGCAAGTCCCAGAGCAAAGTGCTCACACACACACATGGAAGCTTCTGGCTGCACGCAGTCCAGTGAAACAAAGGAACAGGGAAATGAGTCCACGAAGCAAGGAACAAATAATGAGTCCACGAAGCAAGAAACAAATAATGAGTCCACGAAGCCAGGAAGAAGCAGTCCCGCAAACTCCAAATGTCTTCAACAGCACACCAAACTCTACCAATTCAGCGTTTGTTCCCGACAAACACCCCTCTCCACAATGCCTCCTTAATTCTCAGTGCCCATGTTGTGCCTTGTGAAGAGCGGTGGGGCACTCTTCTCCCTAGTCATAAAGTCAGCCTGTGCTGTTCCCATCTTCTCTCCACTCTCTGTGCTCAGGGATCCGGAGGGGCGGTCCTTGCTCATCACCTGAGCTCCATGGCTCCTCGTCTCCACTGCCTGCCCTCTCTCAGTCACCCTTCCCCTATTCCTCCCTTCTAACAAGCCATCCCAATCCTTGAGGGGCCCTGGGCTGCCTCGGCCTGCTCCTCCCCATATTCCTCTGAAGCCAAGGAAGCTGCCCCCTTGATCTCCGTCGGCTCCAGCTCCGGCTCAGGCATGACAAAAGGAGACAACCAGCACTTTGAAATTGCACCTGGAAGCAGGCCGCTGGATTTGGAACCAAGGGGAGCTTCTGGATGCTTTTCAAGGGCAGCCCCACGTCGAGCATGTTGCAATAGTCAAGGCGGGAGGTGACTAGGACATAAATGATCTTATGGTTATCATAAGAAAAATGCAATGCACGTGGAATATTTCCAAATATGAACATTGCCTCATTCACGTTTTATAGTGGCTCTGTTAAACAGGTCGTTTTAACGGAACCTGCGTCACAACGGCAAAGCATAGAAAAATGTAGAGCATTGATTCTCAAGAATCACTCAAGATATGTGGACTTCTGACTCCCAGAATTCCTCACCTCGACTGGCTGGGGAATTCTGGGAGTTAAAGTCAACGTCTCTTCAAATTGCCAAGGTGGAGAAACACTGGACAGGTAAAAAGGTAAAGGTTCCCCTCGCACATCTGTGCTACTCGTTTTCCGGCTCTAGGGGGCGGTGCTCATCTCCGTTACAAAGCCGAAGAGCCAGCGCTGTCCGAAGATATCTCTGTGGTCATGTGGCCAGCAGGACTGAACACTGAAGGCGCATGGAACATTATTCCCTTCCCACCAAAATGGTCCCTATTTTTCTACTTGCATTTTTACATGCTTTCAAACTGCTAGGTTGGCAGAAGCTGGGACAAGGAACAGGAGCTCACTCCATTACGCGGTGCTGGGGATTCAAACCACCGAACTGCCGACCTTTCTGATCGACAAGCTCAGCGTCTTAGCCATTGAACCACTTAAACACTGGGTAGAGTCACCTAAATATGTCAATCGATGAAGAAATATTCACTAGAGATTTCCCGAGTTGCTACTTGATCCTCAGGTTTCATGTGTTTTCTCTTACTTCTGCTGTTTACAAAAATTAGGAGATTGTCCTCAAGTGCTTCGCAACGCTCTCTGCAGCTGGTTCTTCTCTGTGTGTTCTTTTCTTCGGTTTTTTTGGTTCTTCAGCTTTCAACTGAAGTTGAGGGTCATCGCTCTGAGAAGGAAGGTCTGGGGGCCCTCTACGGTCACCATGATCTGCCATGGGTTTGTCTGGCAGCGCTCTGAGGTGTGGGATACAGCCAAGACTCTTAAATCAAAACAGACACAGAATAACAGAATAACAAAATAACTATCAGAATTACTAACAGAATAACTGAATAACTAACAGAATAACTAAATAACTAACAGAATAACAGAATAACTATCAGAATTACTAACAGAATAACTAAATAACTAACAGAATAACTAAATAACTAATAGAATAACTATCGGAATAACTAACAAAAATAACAGAGTTTGAAGGGACCTTTGAGAATCTTTACAAATCCAAATACATTTCCATGCCAAAGTATGTATGTGTGAATGGAAACAGAGATCGATCCTGTCTTCTTCTTGGTAAGAAGATTATTCTAGCTGACTAGACATTTTATGCTTGCATGGAGTTCATAGAAATATTTTTATTTTACTTATCGATACAGTAGAACCTCTGGTCACGACCATAATTCATTCGTCATGGTCAGAAACGTTTGTGACCAGAGGTTCTACTGTATATCAAATGTATATACTCACTCATTAAACAAGTGACTCTAAGTGGCACTTAAGAAAGCTAAAAAAAAAAAGTTAATAAATTCCAAAAGTAATAATAATTATTATTTAAAAACGTTAAAGACTATTTAAAAACCCCAAGGCTAAGAAGTAGAAATAGCATAAGAAACTGCAATGAAAACGTCACCAAAGATACTTTGCAACTGACAAACTCTAGCATTTGGGTAGAGTTTAGAGAACCATGCCTAAAATTCACCTATTATTCACTGGTCTTAATAAAAAGAGAAGGTTTAACTGCAATAGATATTTTCACCCAATCTTGACTAATTCAGCTTATAAAATCTAGCACCCAGGAGGCATCTGTTCATTGTCCTTCCAACGCTGATCCAATAATATGAAGCACAGATTATACAGGCACCAACTTTATCAGCTCACTGTATTTATCCGTCTTTCCTCGGCTTCATCATCTTCACCCTTTGGTATGGGAGAACTTTGACCCGCATCTGAAAGAGATATTCCTTGTCAGTAGCTCTGGGGAGGCGCCTCGTAACTTTGAACAGTTGCAAAGAACTGTTCAGAATTACCCGGGTTCTCTTACCTGCTCAAAGCTTCAGTCTCTGCCAAACCTCAACCAGAAATCTAAATCAAGTCATTTAAGATTTGCAACGCTGCACATATTTCTTCTCCTGGCCAGCTGTAGACGTCTGCCACTAGATGACACTAGCGGTGCAACATACAATCCTGCATTTACGTTACAGTGCGGGGAAGGGGAAGGTTTTGAGGCAGCATAAAGTATGTTGTTTCCATCCCATAATATGCAATCAGAATGGCTTGGGCATGGAGACGTGGCTGCTCTGATCTCCTCCGAGACACAAAGCAGCTATCTTTTCGGTTTCTCTTGAAAACTTTTATTAAGCTCCAGCAAAAGATAAAATACTAAACAAAGCACAAAGAGAGGAGTTACGAAGAGCAGACTTCAAGTTCCCTGGAAGGATCTAACAAGATAAACTATTGCCTTGGCCGGCAGCAAGATGTGGGTTTTTTGCATGTGTGTCTTTTTAATCCATTCCCTTGTTTATATGGCTGTTATTTGATTTTTTTTAATGGGTTTCTCGTTTCAACAGCAAATTATTTTGTGAGAATGCAAAAAGGGAAACGGTAAAAGACTTACAATAAAATAAATACAGTGCAAAATGGGAAGGATTTGAGGGAGGGGTGGGGCCCCTATGTAACCTGGGGATTTCAACTCCCAGAATTCCTGAGCGAGCCACGTTTAGGAATTCTGGGAGTTGAAGTCCAGAGATCATAAAGGCGTCATAGTTGCTCACCTCTAATCTAAGGGAATCCCATAGGAATTCACTCTGGCGAATTGACTGACTCTTATTTCTGATAGATAAAAATAACAGATTAAAAATTGGATGATTTTTTTAATCAATGGTTGGAAAAGAAACAGAAATTAGAAATTAAGTGTGATGACCTGGGACGTGGCACAAAGGCAACACAGTCAGATAATCAGCAGGAGCCAAAAGCACCAGCCTGAGGATGGCGAGTGGGACCTCGCTGAAACGTCGCCAAGATACTCTTAATCTTACACGGGAAAAGACCCGAACACACCTAGACCTACATACATACATACATACATACATGTACAGAGAGAGAGGGAGGGAGGGAGGAGGAGGAGGAGAGAGAGAGAGAGAGAGAGAGAAACATACATGAACATATGAATATAGAGCGGAAGGAGGTAAGAAGGGGATGGTTATAATGATAAGATATATTATGCATAGTAGTTTAAAATAAGAATGTAATGTAATTATTGGTAAGGAAATTGTGTTGACCATAAATCTTATGGCACAAGATATTTGTACCAAAAAGACACACTGTTTAAAGGAAAGATGGAATGTTTGTAAAAAATAAAATAATTTTTTAAAAAAACAAACCTGAATTATCTGAATATCTCAGAGAGATATCAAAGACAAACCTGTAAAAAATCATCACAGAGAGGGCCAGTTTGGTACTGTGATTAAAAGCAGGATTTACATTTGCCAAGACTGACTCTAGAAACGGGCAATATTTTCATCCAGGAACAAAGAGCATTTGTGAAGTCTGCAAAGGCAAGCGATCCTCGCAGTTACGACAGTGACAAAAGAAGTAACTTTGCAACCAATCTTCACCTTTAGGAGCTTCACAAGTCTTTAGAGCAAAGGAAAGCTGAAATCCGATCAAAAGCACATGTCCGTTTTGCTTCATAACCAAACGGCTGGTCCCAACTGGAGTCATTCAACAGGAACTGCATTTTAATTCTTCCATAGGTGCTTTACAGCCTTGGTGTTCTGACCTCGGCTTCCTTAGAAAGCATCAAACACAACCTTAGCCCTGGCAAAACCTCTTTTACTTCCACGGCTGTGAATTACGTTCATTCACAGCCTGCAAGGCTTCCCAAACAGTCTTTCAGGAGAATGTTTATAAACACCCACCTTATCGCACTTGGAATGCTGCCAGAGAACGAATGGCCAAACGCAGGGCAAGGCCAAACTTGACACAGAGTCAAACAGAACTTGAACTGACCAGACGAACTAATTGCTTCCTGCAAAAACTCACATCCCGTTCACTCCTCTTTTGGGGGAGGGGGAAAAAATCATCTCCGAGGTGTGGCCTGACTCCTGAGTGGACCCTGCTTTCTCAGTTGTTCTTGTCTTCTGGTAGTCCTGCGCATGCACAGGCTGGGAACCGGTTGCAGAACTCCCCTGCCTCACTGCTATCTGAGTCTGAAGGCAGCTGATGACTGCCAGCCCGCCCATCCTTACATCTGATGCAGAGCCCTCATTCGAGCCCTCCTCAGCCTCCAAGACTGGCCCAGGTTCCGCCCCAACCTCCTTGCTTCTGTCCGACTCTGTTGCCAGCTCCGTCAGCCAGTGGCGGGCCACAACACTTGGGAAGATAGCAAATGCAAGTATTGGTAGCTAAAGCTACTTTTTCATCACTGTCGTTACTGCGAGCAATCACTGAACAAGGCGGTCACTAAGCAAGGACTCCTAAATTCTTTTTCTTCTTGCAAAAAGGACCAGAGAAACAGATACGCGGCCATAGTAGCGCAAAACACATCTGCCAATTTCCTAAAATGCGATTTATTGCTCAAATGCTCTCAAGAGGCCCTCTGCAATTTTTACATTCAATTATGAAGAATATAAATGGACAAGTGCATCCGAACATCACGGTTCTTCAACTCACTTTTTGGAAAGCGAGTTTGTTCCAGCTGGATTTTGAGCCAGATGTTAATGCGCTGAGTCCAGTCTCCGGGTGCTTCCACTTCCCACAGCCGAGGCTGCTCTTTCGGGTAAGTTTCCAAGAACTTTTGACAAACTAAATAGGGAAGACAAAGAAGTAATGATGTACAATCATACCTCGGTATTCGACTGCTTCAAAACTCATCAAATTCGGTATTCGACACATTTTGAAGTAGAAATCTCATCCCAGCATTTGTCTTTCTCTTAATAGTTGGCATGCAAGGAAGAACATAGCTGTGTCAAGATTCCAAGTAATACATCCCCTTCAATGAGAACTCCGAGGCAGGCGTGTTCCTCCAAGAACATTTTATTAACGGTAAAGGCTCCCCTCGCGCATAATACGTGCTAGTCGTTCCTGGCTCTAGGGGGCAGTGCTCATTTCCGTTACAAAGACAGAAGAGCCAGCATTGTCTGAAGACGTCTCCATGGTCACGCAGCCAGCATGACTAAAGGCCAAAGGTGCACAGAATGCAATTACCTTCCCACCAAAGGGGTCCCTATTTTTCTACTTGCATTTTTGTGATCTCTCGAACTGCTAGGTTGGCAGAAGCGGGGACACGTCATGGGAGCTCACTCTGTTACCCGGCACTAGGGATTCGAACCGCCGAACTGCCGACCTTTCTGATCGACGAGCTCAGCATCGTAGCCACTGAGCCACTGCATCCCTTGTAACATTTTATTGGGACCTATCCAATTGGCAGAGACTTGGGAGGAAAACCGGCTCGAGGTTCCCTCCAGTTTTACACCCAATTAAAAGTAAACCTTTTGTCACTTTCCCCCCAGAGTCTCCAGTCACATGGTCCAATCAGCATGTAGCCCGATTGCTAGGAGACCTCAGTCTCCCACCTTTCGAACACCTGCACCAACATCCTTGATTCCCAGAGAAAAGGATTGTATTTTGGCTACAACACCCCAGCTACCTGAAGCAACAACAAAGAGAAACCTCCGTAGAGGAAAGCTACAAAAAGGCAAATGGCCATAGTTAGGCCAGCTCCAGGATTGACAGCTGTCTTGTGATTCACTATTTCTTCAAGCCAAAATAGCGGGCCACATGGTAAGTCACATGGTTTTCTCGGTACCCTTTGGTGTTAGTATTCGTTGCATCTTCCAGAACAAATTACAGATGGGTATCTCGGTACCACGGTGTTCTGACCAAGGCTTCCTGAGATCGTAATTAAGCACACGCTTAGTCCAAACAACTCTTGTTTTATTTCAACGCTGGGAATTATCTGCATTCCCAGCCCGTAATGACTCCCAAACAGTCTCTCGAGATAAGCACTCACCTTTATCTCCTTTGAATTGCTGCCAACAACTAAAGGGCCAAATGAACTGTAAAAAGCCAACCGAAGTACAAAGTCCACACAGAGCTTCAAGGATTAATCCAAACAGAGCGAACGACTTTGCTTCCTGCAAAGGTTTCCCTACCTTTGCCTGTCCTTTATACCTTATAGGAGGGGCAATCACCTCCAAGCCTTACTCCCGAGTCACCCCTTTTGTCTCAGCTGCTCTTGCCTTCTAGCAGCTCTGCGCATACGTGCACTGGGAGCAGGCTCCCCTTGGTCCTCTGCCTCGCTACTCTCAGACTCGAGGCTCCAGAATCAGCACCCCACTTCCAGATGCTCCTGGCCCCATCTCTGCATCGGACGCAGGACCCACGTCCGAGTCCCTTCCAGACTCCCAGACCAGTCCATGTTCCTCCCCATTGTCCAATTCCGCTGCTGTCTGCACAGGCTGCCGGCAAACCACAACACTCTTTAGGGTTTCCTGCTTGAGCAGGGGTTGGTCTAGAAGACCTCCAGGGTCCCTTCCAACTCTGTTACCATGTTATTCTTCTTGCTATGAACTTGCTATGTTCCAACAACCGTTTAGGGGAAAACAGCAGGGACAATTATCATTTTCTGTGCGGAACTGACCCCTTTTAACATCACAAACTTGCATGTTTTATTTCACTTCATTTAAATATCTGAGTCTGTGAAGGAGCCTTCAGACTGTGATCTGATGAATGTCGGCCTGGGACTTCTAAGGATTCCTGCATAACATTTACTAACAACATTTGGAAGCAGTGAAAACTCCTGTCTGGACGGTTTGATTTATGGCTTCCGGTCAGCCCTCAGCTTTTCTTCACCCAGCATCTGGGCCTCCCCTTCTCTTAAAAAAAAAAAGCCATTTATCAGACTAGACACTGCACAGCTGTTTCTAAGGAGAAGAGCCTCCAACAGTATGACTAATGTCAGAGATTATTCCAACAAAAATAAGTTAAGAAAGATTGTGTTGGCTTAATTGAAGACAGCGCTGGAAGTTTTCATGTTTTAGGAATCAAGGCCATTTTCATTATGGATCGGCTGCACTGAAAATGACTTACAACGGACAGGTCACTTAGCAACCATTTGAAGTCATGATGGACCCCCGAAAGGGGCTTTGCAACTTAATTCTGAAGTTCTGGATGTGACCACATTTCAGACACTCAGCAACTGGCCCAAAATGGCCAGCTGTTTTGCAACATCCCACATTGATGCTGTCATGGCGTAGTGGCTATTATGCAGTATTACATGCTAATTCGCTGCTGACTGCCAGGAGTTCGAATCTGACCAGCTCCAGGTTGACTCAGTCTTCCATCCTTCTAAGGTCGGTAAAATGAGGACCCAGACTGTTGGGGGCGAGAGGCTGACTCTGTAAACCGCTTAGAGAGGGCTGGAAAGCACTATGAAGTGATATATAAGTCCAAGTGATATGGGGGGGGGGGGAGGAAGGAAGGAGGTGTGGGGTGTTGTGGCACAGTGGTTAGAATGCACTGCTGCAAGCTAACTCTGCCCACTGCCAGAAGTTCAATCCTGACCGGCTCCAGGTTGACTCCGCCTTCCCTCCTTCCGAGGTGGGTAAAATGAGGAGCCAGATTATTGGGGGCAAGAGGCTGACTCTGTAAACTGCTTAGAGAGGGCTGTAAAAACACTGGGAAGCAGTATATAAGTTTTAAGTGCTTAATCTATTCCTATTTTATTGCCATGGTGGCACAGTGGTTAGAATGCAGTATTGCAGACTAATTCTGCTGACTGCCAGCAGTTCAATCCTAAGTAGCTCAAGGTTGACTCAGCCTTCCATCCTTCCGAGGTGGGTAAAATGAGGACCCAGATTGTGAGGGGAAAGAGGCTGACTCTGTAAACCGCTTAGAGAGGGCTGTAAAACATTATGAAGCAGTATAAAAGTGCTATTTCTTCCTTCCTTCCTTCTATAACTCTGCCCACTGCCAGCAGTTCGATCCTGACTGTCTCAAGATTGACTCAGCCTTCCATTCTTCCAAGGTGGGTAAAATGAGGACCCAGATTGTTGGGGGCCAGAGGATGACTCTGTAAACCGCTTAGAGAGGGCTATAAAAGCACTCTGAAGCGGTATATAAGTCTAAGTGCTATGGCTACGGCTATTCTATTCTATTATGTTCTGTTCTGTTCCATATTCTATTCTATTCTATTCATTTTTGCCCGTAAATTTTGGTGCATCTTCACAGACAGCAAATGGGATTTGGGAATGGCATAAGAGGCCTGTACGCTGCCCACAGAGGCTTACTCTGGCAAAAAGCTCTCTGCTGATTTCTTTCCCAGCTCCTCCTCAAAATGCCGAATCTTTATCTTGGGGCTGTTTGTTGTGATCTGTTGTGGTTCGCCGGCAGCCAGTGCAGACAGCAGCAGAATCGGACAGTGGGGAAGAGCAGGGACCAGTCCAGGAGTCTGGGGAGGACTCGGATGAGGGTCCTGCGTCCGATGCAGAGATGGGGCCAGGGCCATCTGGGAGTGGGGTGCTGACTCCGGAGCCTCTGGAGTCTGGCAGCAGTGAGGCAGAGGACCCAGGGGAGCCTGTTCCCAGTGCGCGTGTGTGCAGAGCTGCTAGAAGGCAAGAGCAGCTGAAACAAAAGGGGCAACTCAGGAGTAAGGCTGGAAGGTGATTGCCTCTCCCATAAGGTATAAAGGACAGGAAAAGGTAGAGAAACCTTTGCAGGAAGCAAAGTCGTTCGCTCTGTTTGGATTAAACCTTGAAGCTCTGTGTGGACTTTGTACTTCGGTTGGATTTTTACAGTTCGTTTGGCCCTTTAGTTATTGGCAGCCATTCAAAGGAGATAAAGGTGGGTGCTTATCTCGAGGGACTGTTTGGGACTCATTACGGGCTGGGAATGAACATAATTCCCAAATAAAACAAGAGCTGTTTGGACTAAGCGTGTGCTTAATTACGGTCTCATGAAGCCTTGGTCAGAACATGATCCTTGCCTGTGTGGATTCCTAATCTTTAAAATCTTGTACTTTTATTGAATCTTCAAACTTTACCTTTCTCCATTTCAGCCGAAAGAGGACAGCTGAGTCCCAAGGCATCCTCCGAAGGGAAAGACTGACAGAAATCCTGAAGCATCTGCATCCCAAGTCCACATCTTCTAAACTTCTTTCGTACAAACATGGTGTCCAAAACAGGGAGCATGTAACACTGGCTGGTGTGTCCGTCACACAAATTTCCTGCATGCAGAGGACAAAAAAAACAAACAAACCAGAAAGGGAACTCGTGAACAATTTCTTACTGAATGAATCTCCTTCTCATAGCTGAAATACACGGCCTGCTTTGAGGACATTTCTCATTTGTTCTTCAAGAGATGCTTTGGGTCATCTCTTGCCTGGTTAAAAGTTCTGGAGAACTTAGAAGGATTTCCTCTCCGTGGAGAGCAACAACCAAGAGGGAGATTCCAGATGTGAAATACGGAGGCATAAATTAGACCTATTAAGCAGTGGAAGAGACTGTACCTTGCTTCTATTTATTTAGTCACCCGTCCAGTTAGTCATGACTTCTGCAGATTACAGAAAGCTAGATCTCTGAGTGAATATGTGATTCTGCAAGCAACTCAATCTGCCTGCCTGCTTTGCCTGCTTTGGGGTAAAAGTTCCTCTTTTTTAATAAAAAAAATTCAATATTTACATACATGGTATGTTGTGAGTTAATTTTGTGAGTTTGCTTGCAAGCAAATTTTATGTGACAGACTCAGGCAGCAGATTGCAGAATGGTAGATCTCTGAGTGAATCTATGATTCTGGGAGCAATTCAATCTGCCTGCCTGCTTTGCCTAATTTTGGGAAAAAAATCCTCTTTTTTTTAAATAAAAAATTCAATATTTACATAAATATTTACAATATTTACATACAAGCCACGCCCAGCCAGTCACACCAAGCCATGCCCCAGTCAGCAAACCATGCCCCCCCCCAGTCATATGACCACCAAGCCACACCCACAAATTAGGCCCGCAGAACCAGTTGTCAAGAAATTTGAATCCCACCCCTGCCCCATATTGATTTTGGGCCTATTTCCAGAACTGCTTTGTCCTTGCCTTCTTCCTAGGGCTGAGAGAGAGTGACCGGCCTAAAGCAGGACAAGAAGTCATGTTTTCTGGCTCCTCGTTCCAGCACTTCAACTACTAACCCAAAGTAATTCTTGATTTATCACTTTAGATCAGCGTTTCTCAACCTCAATAGAGGTAGTCCTCGACCTACGACCACAACTGAGCCTAAAACTTCTGTTGTTAAGTGAGACATTTGTTAAGAGAGCTCTGCCCCATTTTACAACCTTTCCTGCCACTGTTGTTAAGTGAATCGCTGCAGTTGTTCAAGTTAGTAACTCGGTTGTGAAGTGAATCTGGCTTCCCCGCAAAAGGGGACCACGTGACCTTGGGGACGCAGCAACGGTCATAAATATGAACCAGTTGCTAAACATCTGGATTTTTGATCAGGTCACCATGGGGATGCTGCAAAGGTAACTGTGAAAAACTCTTTTACTTTTTTCAGTGCGGTTGCAACTTTGAACAGTCCCTAAATGGACTGTTGTAAACCAAGGACTACCTGTAGCTTTAAGATATATGGCCCAGAATTCCCCATGCTGCATGCTGGCTGAGGGATTCTGGGAGTTGTTTTACAAATGGCTAGAAAATAAAATTAACTAAAAGGGATTAGATGTAATTATAAAGCAATGAGAGAAACTAGTGTAATATACTGAATATTACTTATATTATCCGTATGGGAATGCGCTGAGTATTATACGGTTATACCGTTAAGAAGAATATTATTAGTAATTGTTAGGCACATGAAATGTGTACCTAATCGACACACGATTGAAATGGAATGGATTTACTGTATGTTAAAAATAAAAATAAAATAATTGGGGGAGGGGAGAGGCTCTTGATTTACAGAAGTCCTGAGGTCCAGTAGAAGCAAGTTCTCACTTCCTTCCCTGATCTCATCCGCAGATTACTGGGCTTACTCGTGGCCTCATTCACTGCCCAGCCATGAAAAGTATGTGTTTGCAATTACGTTTACAAGGCAGCCCCGATTCTTCCACGGTGCAAGAATTTTGCAGCATAAGGCACCCCTTTGGGTGGGTCTCATTGCTGCCCCGTTACTCATACGGCTGGAACGTATGGACAGAGCTAAGAAAAGCACAAGGTCTCCCGTGAGTCAAGAAACCCAACGCAAGTTGGACTCTGCCTGGCAGGCCAAGAGAAATGTCACACTCCGGCCATGAGATACCCTTCCCCATTTGGGGAAGCTTGGCAGAGTCCGTGCATCAGGGCCACCATGGCCTTAAAAGGGGATGGTGTGTTTTCGGTAGCACCATTCCACATTGACTCTGTCATGGTCAACACAACCAGCCTTTTAGCATCTCAACCCTTCACTGAAGAGAAGAACAGAGTTGGAAGGGACCTTGGAGGTCTTGTAGTACAACCCGCTGCTCAAGCAGGAAACCTTATACCATTATGGACAAGTGGCTGCTCAATCTCTTTTTGAAAACACACACACACACACACTGTTCATGTGAATTGGGATATGCCCCTCAGTTCCAAAAGGATCAAGGGCCACAGCACAGAAGTTGGGGAACCCTGAGCTGCTGTACTAGTTAAGCATTGGGGAATTATTTAGTTTTTGTTTGTTTGTTTGTTTGTTTGCATTTACACCAAGACAAATTCCTTGTGTGTCCAATCACACTTGGCCAATAAAGTATTCTATTCTATTTTCATATCCCATCTTTATTATTTTTATAAACAACACAAGGCAGCCACCATATCTAACACTCCTTCCCCCTCCTATTTTCCAGACAACCACCAACCTGGACTGGGGGAAAGGACTGGACTGAGGGAAAGCCACTGGCCCAAGGTCATCCAGACAGTTTTCATCTTCTTAATTTTTTTTAATAGTTTTTAATTTTTAATTTATTTAATTCTGCCAGGATGGGATCATCCATAATATTTGGACTAGATGACCTACATGGTGCCTTCCAACTCTTGTCAACCTGTTAGCCTGGTTCTTTTTGACTCTTATAAACACACTTAGAGTTGGGAAGCGGTGGCTCAGTGCCTAAGACGCTGAGCTTGTCGATTAGAAAGGTCAGCAGTTCGTGGTTCGAATCCCTAGCACTGTATCACGGAGTGAGCTCCCGTTACTTGTCCCAGCTTCTGCCAACCTAGCAGTTCGAAAGCATGTAAAAATGCAAGTAGAAAAATAGGGACCCCTTTGGTGGGAAGGGAACAGCGTTCCATGCGCCTTCAGCATTTAGTCATGCCGGCCACATGACCACGGAGACGTCTTCGGACAGCGCTGGCTCTTTGGCTTTGAAACGGAGATGAGCACTGCCCCCTAGAGCTGGAAACAACTAGTACATATGTGCGAGGGGAACCTTTACCTTTACCTAAGAGTTGGGAAGGGCCCTCAATAAAGACATACCTCTTCTTTTGACCGTATAAAAGGCGGCTGCTTCTCCACTCTTCCAGAATATTCTGGCATCTTCCTTCTTAGGGTGAGGAAGGAAGACTGTATCATCAGTCAAGCTCCTCTCCAACATGCCAAAAATGATGCAGTTAAGGACAAAGAGAACGATTCTCTCTTGAAAAGTTTGAACCTTGAAGGACAAGTGAGATGAGGAGATATAAGACAACACAAACAATGCAGATAGTTCCTGACTTACATTTCATTTAGTGACCATTTGAAACGACAACGGTATTGAAAAGAAGGACTTATGCCCATTTTTCACACAACCGTGGCAGTGTCTCCCCATGATCAAAATTTGGACAATTGGCTACTGACTCATATTTGTGATGGCCTCAGTGTCCCTAGGACACGTGGTCCCTTTTTGCAACCTTCTCTAACAAGCCAAGTCAACCGGGAAGTCAGGCTTCATTTTAGAACTGTGTTACTAACTTTAACATCTGCAGGGATTCATATAACAACCGTGGCAAGAGAGGCCGTAAAATGGGGCAAAATTCCCGGTCTCACTTAGCAACAGAAAAATTATGTTCCCTAGTTTTTTCCCATACACGTAACAATGCATCCCTGACCATATGCCTTTGAAAGTACCTCTCCTGTACCACAAAAATGGATGCCAGCCCATTTGTAAATCATGTCCTTCCAATGTTAATAACCTTTTATTCCTCAACAATATCCATACTTTCATCCATGTTGATTGTTGTTATATTGTTATATTGATAAGAAGAGTATTATTATTAATTGTTAAGCACATGAAATATGTACCTAATCAACACCCGGTTGAAATGGAATGGATTTATTGTTTTCAAAAAATAAAAATTATAAAAAAGAAAAAGAAAAATTGAGCTCAGTTGTGGTTGTAAATTGAAGACACCCTGCAAGAATAACTGGTATGGCTCAAAAATATTTGAAGTGAGATTAAACAGTTTTAAAGTTGCCAAGTTTGGAGATCCCTGGCTTAAATGATGTTTTCACCTGTTTCAGGCCCTCCCGGAAAGGATCAGATGTCTTGATTACATCTTCAGGAAGCCGCCAGGAGTTGTTCAAATAAATTGCTAACACTGTTAAAAAGAAGGGGAATAAAGCAAGCAAGAATGAATAAAGCAAGGAACTTCTGTTTAAATAAGAATCTCCCAAGAGTGCCTTGAACTCTCATAAATTTACAGGAAGCTTGTCTGTATTTCTTGCCGTGCATAATTTTCACATTCCTGTCGGCAGTAAAACATTTTTCTTCCACAAGTTTTCAGCAGCGGTGGAATTTAAGAAGTCTTGGGAGAAGGGGAGAGAAAAGTATTAACATATGTACTCCTACTGCAGTCTACACCAAAGAATCTAAAAGTTGGGCTTTTCCGCAACTAGTTCCACAACAATTCCACATAACTAGTGTGTGGCAGCAGCCAAAAAAGCCAATGCAATCCTAAATTGCATTAACAGAGGGATACACTCAAGATCAAGGGAGGTACTAATACCACTCTATAAAGCCTTAGTAAAACCACACCTAGAATACTGCATCCAGTTTTGGTCGCCACACTATAAAAAAGATGTTGAGACTCTAGGAAGAGTGCAAAGAGCAACCAGGAGATTAGGGGACTGGATGAACGGTTGCAGGAACTGGGCATGGCTGGTCTAGTGAAGAGAAGGACCAGGGGAGACAGGATAGCAGTCTTCCAATATTTGAGGGGCTGCCTCAGAGAGGAGGAAGGGGTCAAGCTATTTTCCAAAGCCCCCGAAGGCCAGACAAGGAACAATGGATGGAAACTGAACAAGGAGAGATTCAACTTGGAAATAAGGAGGAATCTAAAAGTTTGGCTTTTCCGCAACTAGTTCATCAGGAAACATTCTGCAAAAGTTCAGAAACTTTCATTTTCATTCTATATACAGGTAGATCTATCTCTATAACGATGTTTGCATTATTTAACCACATCTCCCCTACTACGTCCTCTTCTTCAAAAACCAGCTGGAAGAAAAACTTGCATCTAGAACATTTATGTTTGTGAGAATGCTGGAAGTGTGCAGCAGCAGCCCAAAAAGCTAATATAATCCCGGGTTGTATAAACAGAGGCATAGAATCAAAATCATGTGAAGTATTAGTACCGCTTTACAAAACCCTAGTAAGACCACACCTGGAATACTGCAACCAATTTTAGCCACCACGCTACTTAAAAGATGTTGAGACTTTGGAAAAAGTTCAGAGAAGAGCAACTAAGATGATCAAAGGCCTGGATATTAAAACAAGTGAAGAATGGCTGCAAGATTTGGGTTAGGCTTGTCTAAAGAAAAGAAGGACTAGGGGAGACCTGATATGAGTGTTCCACTATCTCAGGGGCTGCCACAAAGAAGAGGGGATCAAATTATTCTCCAAGGCACCAGAGATCAGGACAAGAAATAATGGTTGGAAACTAATCAAGGAGAAAAGCAAGAAGCTTCGTAACAGTGAAAACAATGAACCAGTGGAACAGCTTGCCTTCAGAAATTGTGGAGGCTCCATCACTGGATATTTTTAAGAAGAGTCTAGACAGTTACTTATCTGAAATGGTATAGGTTCTTCTGTTTGAGCAGGGGGCTGGACTAGAAGACCTCCAAGGTCCCTTCCAGCTCATTCATTTTAATATTGTTTTTGAGTTTCAACACATTTCCAAGAAGAAAAAGAGAGAGGCACTGACTTGTTGTATTTTAAGATCAATCAGAAGTCCCTTAAATACATTGGAATCATAGAAAATAGAATAAAAGGGTGGGAAGGGATCTTGGAGGTCTTCTAATCCAACCCTTTGCTCAAACAGACCTTATACCATTCCAGACAAATTAATCCCTTCTTGGAATCCTCCAGGGATGGAATACCCACAATTTCCAAAGCCAAACCATTCAATTAATTGTTCTCACTGTCAGGAAATTTCTCCTAAGTTCTAGGTTGGATCTCTCTTGGATAATTTTCACCTGCTAGTTCTTGTCCTGCCTTCAGAGGCTTTGGAAATAGGTTGGTCTCCTCTGTCATAGTCCCTCAAATATTGAAAGATGCTGTCATGTCACCCTCAGTCCTTCTCTTCATTAGACTAGACCAGCTTTAAGACTTGTGGACTTCAACTCCCAGAATTCCTCCTCCAGTCATGTTAGCTCGGGAATTCTGGGAGTTGAAGTCCACAAGTCTTAAACTGGCCAAGTTTGAAGACCCTGACATACCTAGTTCCCTCCATCCATTTATCGTATGGTTTTGCCTCTAGACCCCTGATCATCTTTGTTGGCTCTTCTCTGCTTTGTAAAAGTTGGTTACAAAACTTGCCATCTTTGTCCTGAGAATATGTTATGGAGATTCTCAGTCATCTAGGTCATGGTTGTCCCAATGGTGCTTTTTCTTCAAGAGACAACTGGACTTTCTGGTTTTTCTTTGAAGATGTGTCCCTTCTAATCCAAGAAGCTTCTCCAGCTAAGACGACGTTTCTTGGATGGGAAGCGAAACGTCTTCAAAGAAAAACCAGAAAGTCCAGTTGTCCCTTGTCTTGACAATATCTTGAGAATGGATCGTCTTATATGAAGGGATAGGGCAGTGGGGGCTAACCTTTTTGGGCTCCTGTGCCAAAAATTGTGTGTGCGCTTGCACACTCACGTGCCAGCACCCAGAAGGCAATGCGCGCCCCCCCATGCCCCCTACGCATGCATGCTCAATCCCCGCCCCATTACCTGCACTGCGCCTCACAGCTGATTTTCGGCTAGTTTGAGGCCTTTTTCGGCCTCTCAGAGGCTTGAGGAAGGCTTCTGCAGGCTCCTGCAGGCCAAAAACTAGGTCCGTTTCGTCACTTCTGGTATTTTCAGAAAAACAGGAAGTGACAAAACAGGGCTAGTTTTCAGCCTGCAATGCCTGCAGAAGCCTTCCTCAAGCCTTTGGGAGGCCAAAATAGGCCTCAAACCGGCTAAAAATCAGCTGTGAGGCATGCACATGCGCAGTGAGGTAAGTTTGCCTGAAGCTCGCGTGCCGGCACAAATGGCCGTGTGTGCCACCTGTGGCATGTGTGCCATAGGTTTGCCATCACGAGGATAGGGCCTGGGCCTAACCCAAAATAAAAAGAGCTGCCTCTTTTTTGACTGAATTAAACTAAAATTGACTGAAGAGTAATTATTAACGTCTTTATTTTTTTTTATATTCAGTAACTTTTTTTGGCTCTTCTTAAAAAAAATTTTTTTTAAAAAATCACAATTGACCAGCCAATTTTTTTTTGAAATGCTCTGGAAGACACAGCAGAGTTTTGGAAAGGGGCATGCAGTTTGTGTTCCCAGGCCTCGGATTGTTTTTCCGATTTAGGGTAATAAATTACCGACGTTATATCAATTCAAAAGAGAAGTGGGAAATGCAAACACAATACATCAAAGGAGGAGCAAAGCTGCCAACGAAAGGGATTCAGCTGTTACAGGATATTTATTATGGGGCAGAATAATACAATAGTACTCACGTGGGGAAAGGAGTAGACTACATCTAATAAAAGTCCATTATTTTGCCTTTTTTTAAAAAAAAAAACTTTTATGTTTCCAGAGATAATTCTAATCTACCTAGATCGGTCAGTTTCTCTTGAATAGCTCCCAAATGGGGAAGCCAAATTCACTTAATAACCGTGTTATTAACTTACCAGCTACAGTGATTCACTTAACAACTGTGGCAAGGTTGTAAAATGGGGCAAAATTCACTTCACAACTGTCTCACTTAGCAACAGAAATTTTGGTCTCAATTGTGGTTGTAAGTTGAGGACTACGTGTAGATTTCCTGGAGGTTTTCAAAAATAGATTGGACAACCATTTGCCCAGGATAGAATAAGGTCTCCTGCCTTGGGTAGGGGGTTGGACTAGAAGACCTCTAAGGTCCCTTCCAATCCTATGATGCTGGCAGCCACATGATCATAGAAATTGCCTTTGGACAATGCTTGGCTTCCCTTGGCCAAGAAACAGAGATGAGCACCATGTCCTACAGTCGAACACTAATTGTTCTAACTCAGCTTCCCAAACATGACAAACCCTCTGACGTGAACTCAAAAGATTCCTTTATTAGGAATGCCGGCAGTCCCGGCAAAAGGTTTATCTCTCAGGCTAATAAATCTGTCCGGCCAGAAGATGAATAGTTGTCTTCCACATCTATTCATCTCCGCCTCCTGCCTTTTATCCCCAGAGCTAGGGTGGGGCCTCGCTAGCAGCAGTGGCTCCTCTATCCCAGGGACCGGCCCATAGATTTCCACTGCTCTCCTCTCCTCTGCCTTTTGCGCATCTGCCTGTCAGGCACTGGACCCAGCTGTTCCTCGTCTTCCTCATCAGCCACCTCCAGACCTGAGGGTTGTTGACTCTCCATCTGAGGGCTGATGGACAGCCCAGGCTCCACCCATCTCTCTCTCTCTCTGACAGCTTCAGTCCCTCTTCGTCCTTGGAGATCTCAGGTTGCCCTGATGCTGACCCTGACTACCACACCGCCTCCCCTGATTCGGCTACTGGACGGGCCAGTGGCTGACAGGCCACAGCACTAATGGACAGGGAAACTTTTACCTTTACTTTATGTTTGTGAGAACGCTTGCATTGAAGAGCAGGCTGGACTGGCACTAAGCCTGTTTGCCAGTGACACCTACACACATCTACGGAAAGTCTAAACAATTCAATAATTCAGAGAGAGTCTAGTGAAGTTAGCATATCAACTGCCATGTTGTAGCAACTGGTACAAAGCAACTGGTTCCTGACTCCTTCTCTGTCCTTTCCTTAAGGCAAGGGTCTTCAAACTTGGCATGTTTAACACTTGTGGACTTCAACTCCCAGAATTCCTGAGCTAAACAGGACCGGAGGAGAAATTCTGGGAGTTGAAGTCCACAGTCTTAAAGCTGTCAAGTTTGAAGACCCCTGCCTTAAGGCATGAGTAGGAAGGGAAGATCTTCCAAGTCTGTGCAAGAAGCTACATTCACTATGATGTGATGGATCCCTGCCATTGGACCTGCATATTCTTCCTTCGCTTCCTAGTATCCTGAATGCAGAACATTGATGCTCGAAATCTGTGGAGGTTCTCGGTTATCCAGGTCATGCTTTGAACCAATGGTGCTTTCCTAGCTTGCAAAAAAGGCAACTGGACTTTCTTGATTGAATTGGGTATGTCTCGTCTAGGGAAGAGAAGGATCAGGGGACAG